AACATGTGCTCCCAGAAGCTATTCTTACACTTGAAGCTAAGCTCAAGAACTCAGGTGGATCAGGGGCTTGAAATATAACATGCAATTATTTTCAGCAGGAATTCCTGGCTGCTGATGCAAATATCCTCAAACTATGAAAGAACAAGCCAAACGAAAATATTTCCAACCTTTATTTACCTCTATTTAAATGAAAGCTTGCGAGTAATATTACTTTGTACCTGTAGTGAATGCTATGCATACTGTATATTTTTAGGTAGAAATCAATGTTGTAGACTAAAATATATAACAATATAACAAAATTATTACCCATGTTAGTAATAAGGATAAAAATGTCTTTGGTATGATAGACTAAATATTCAGATTGAACACGTACATTTTGAACAACCTGGATGTGTTGAAAGGATGTGATAAAATATGTATTTCAAAGCCTAGTTCTGCGATCAAAGTCAAAGTTAATAATCAGGTTTCTGTATTACTTGCCTCTCTGTAGAGCAACAGTAAAACCAAAGGTAGGAACATTACTTTGAACTAAGCTGAATTACTACTGTTTAAAATGTAAATCAATTATACGTGTTAAAGCAATAAGAAAATAACTAATCCACATGAAAAGGTATCAGCTCTTAATTAAACTCTATGGGAGCCCAGATGCCCCAAAATAGTAGAGTTCAAACAATATACTCCTGGCCTCAGGCTGCCGGTCAATTGTTAATATCATGTATTTTTATTTGGAACAAAATGCTAAAGCTACTTTGAGTTTACGGCTTTTGATAGAAAACCATCCTTGTGGCAGTGGAGCGGAGAAGAGCTTCTTTGACAATGGAAAAAAGGAGCCCAGCAATTTACCAATTTACTTAAGCCCAGCAATTTACCAAAGACTCGTATATAATAGAACCAAAAAAAACTCTCCAAAAGATGGTTCTTATCAGCTTGTTGAGGAAGGGGGAAAGATTAATAACTATTCATATTTTTTGGTTTCCAAATCTACTGAGGTTCATATAAGGATCTTTTGTTAAACAGCATTATGAGCAATACAATATTGCAGTTACCATAAACATATTTGTCTTTCTTTGGAATAAAGTGAACTGTGTATATGTTCTTCCTCATTTCAAACTCCCAGAGATCCTTTGAAAAAGTTGCCTGAATGGGGAAGCTACTTTGCAGGAAAAACATTCAGCTAGCTTCAAATCAGACTATACTTGTGCTTGGTTTATTTATTTGAGTATGTCTGTTTACAGAGGAGAAAAAAATGCATCACTTAAAAAAAAATGATTTAGAAATCCACTTGATTGTTCCGTGCATGTACTAGCTTGCATGGATAAACATGGATTTTGCACATACAAATAAGTTATACTTGCATTCTG